TTGATGAATTAAAATCCATATTAGATACATGCAGTAGTGCTCCTTTTAATTGAAGTTAATCCTAAGTTTTATAAACATCCACCAAGTCTGTCTGAATATCAATTGAAGGGTTACCAGGCAATTTCAAGGGGTTTTGCTGTCAATGGTTGTCGTGGTTTGCTGGTTTACTTATGTGATAACCCTCCTATAACTGAACTAAGTTTGTCATCGTTGTTTCATGAATATATCTGCGTTGTTTTAATAAATGTTTTGTACTGCTTACTGATAACTGTTCCTATATAGTCATCATATACTTAGAATACCTATACAGGCCCTCAAACGCACACGCGCACTTTTTCAGGTTTCAATCTTTAGTTCCCATAAACATTATTCATCAGACTCATTTCAAATTTTACAAGTTTCACATTTTTATGGTTTATTAATTCATTCATTTATTTTTCAAAGTTTTTATACATTTTAATTATTGTTTAATTGATTTATTTTATGCCTTTGTTTATTTGTTTAGTATCTTTTTTTGTGTACGTCTAGCCGAGTTGATTTGAGGTACTCGACAGGTCTCTGGTAGTTATGCAAATATGGATTAAAAATATCGGTAAGTAGAAGGGACTACTAACCGGTCTATGGTTCCAGGCGTCTGTCACTCAATAGCACGCCACTGGGATCAGTATAATAATAGATTTTTTCAAGGGGTAAAAAATTTTGATGTAAAAAGACAAGTTAAAAAGTTTTAGAATAATATAATATATTGAAAAAGTAGGAAGTAAATCTAGAAAACAAGTTGTACATTACAAGGTGTAAACAATGCAGGTTTGAACAAAGTTTTAAATAGATTGTCCTTATAGAATTAATTTTATTAACAAAGAAGAAATTGTAGTAAAAAATCAAAAATTATGTCTATTTTGTTCACAACGGTAAATTTGATGTCCATTCGTTCACTCTCCCGTTCCATGTCTGTTTATGATAAGTCCATCAGATTTTGAAAATCAGAAAAGGAAATTTAACAGTATGATTTAAATCGAGTTTTCAGATGATCCAACTTCAAAAAATACTCTAAAAAAATCACAACTTTTTTCAGAAAATATAGCGAAATTGGATAGTTAGCGAAAAAATCTCTTAATATTCTCTTAACATCGTTATTTTGCTTTTTTCTAATCCGACAGACTTATGAAACTCGAAAGCAGTAAAAAATCAAGTACAAGATCTTTCTGACAAACATAATCAAAGTTATTGGGACTTGCTTACTTCAAGAGCTCTTGGTTCGATGAGCTTGTCGAAGTTGTAAATTTTTTGTAAAAACTTCTTTGAACATTTTAGGTAGTTGAATAACATCCATCCATGATATCTGTTGATGCAACTCTAATTTTATTGCGTTATTTTTTATCTTAATACCTTTAAATCGAAATATATAACAAAATATACACAGCAGAAAAAACAGCACAAAATTTAATTCGCAGTCAGAAAAAATAAATATCAATGAAATAGTAAATTTTCATGCGCATTAAAATATTTTATTATATCATTAGAATTATCCTTTTGTCAAGCAACAAATGCAACATGAAAAGTTCTTAATAAAGAAATGTTGAAAGCGAAGAAATATTTTTAAAAAGTACTCGCACACTTTACCCAAAACACAGAGTTTTGTTAATGCAATGAATTTTACCCTAAACTTGTACGGCTACCTTCATCGTCGTCATCCTAAGTACAACGCTTGTGATGCGGTGGCGATGGTGGTGATGACGATAATGAATTTTGCTTTTGGCGTTTAAAAAATGTTGATAAGAATGATTTCTAATCTATATTCATACGATGCTAACGCTTAATCGTGTGGTATGACGATTGTCACCACGTAAAATGCTTAAGTGGTTTCCACAAGATCAAAACAAATATTTTTAAGATAAATTGTTGGCTGAGGGATGTATTGCTGTATATTACAATACAACCACTGTAATTCATATAATGTTAATAACATTTATAAGCAAGCAATGATGTGCAGATTACATCTTTTCAATGATAAATTCATCCTTGTCCATACTTTATAATGAAATAAAACAATAAAGAACAAATAAATATGTGAAATTTGATGGTGAGAGGCAGTTTTTGGCCAGAGTTATATATACATATATATATTATATATATATATATTCTATAAATTCTACCGAATGCACGTCAACATGACTCATATATCGGGATTACTGCTACCTCATTGACTAGAAGGCTTACAATGCATAAACAGATAGCACATCAAATCTCATTTGGACTCAACACACTCAATCACTATTAGCCATGAAATTCTCGACAGTAACACCAAAGTAATATACCAGAACAGCAACTACACGCATCTTAAAATTGCAGAAGCAGTCCTAATTGACATCAATAAACCAAAAATAAGTATACAACAAAAAATGACAACCTCACTTCCAACCCGGCGCTTAACCAACAACGAAAACAAAGAAGTAATAAAACTAGCATTGTAAATAGTGACAAAGAAGAATATGATGCTATCGATGAAGAAAAGGAGACCAAAGAAGAAACCTGACACCTAATTTCCATCTAAGTTCACTTTGACAAAGTCAATCTCCATCTAAATTCATTTTGACAAAGTCAATATTTCCCCATATAAACAACAGAAAGCACTGATGATGATTCATTCGGAATCGAAATATGGCCTTATTTATAGCATGAATTCGGAAAATAAGTTTATTTTGAATTTTAATAAACTTTAGTTCACCAAAAGACTTTAGTAAGAAAAATTGAAAAAACAAACTACAAACATATTAACGCCAAACATTCGGTAGAATTTATAGAATATTGTAAAAATTATGGTCTATTACCAACATATATATATATATATGTGTTGAATTTTTGAAATGTTGCGTTAACAACAGTCTTTTACCAAAATATGTATATATATATATATATGTATATATATATATGTATATCTATATATAATTGACCGCTAATAAAGAGAAATAATAAATCAACACAGAATGAGTTATTGGAGCCAATTAACTAAGAACGCAAAATCAATTTTTGGAGCCAATTAAATAGGAACGCAGAGATATAAGTATATATATATAAGATACAACCAATAGATGATAACATAACACATTGAAAATAGTAAGTGATTACAGAAAAAAAAACAATTTCTGTATAACATTAAATGAATAAAAAAAAGTAGTAAAAATTTTGTTTTCTATATAAGTTAAAAAAATGATGATAAAAATACGATAAGAATTATGGAAAAATTGAACCAGAAATTATCAATTGTATCTACGACAGTCTTAACCCTAATTATATATATATATGTATGTGTATATATGTATGTATGTATATATATATATATAATTGATAAAAATCACAACATGTTCGGCGTTATTTAACTTTCTATTTATCTTTTCGATTTTTCTAACGGTTGATCGTAAATCATTTTCAAGTTTCTTGAATTGAAAACCAAAATTTTTGTTTTGAATTCAAGAAACTTGGAAAAATTCCGTGTTCGAATTGATATGTCGTGTATGTTGCCAAATGCTCAATTATATATATAATTTGTCTCTACAACGTCATTCTTTGTTTATTTAATGTTAATACTTAACGGTCATTTGATTAGTTATTACGATTTTCAACTTTGAATGCAGAAAGTACTCCCAATGGAGAAACCATTGCTACACAGTCTATTGGCTGACATAATGTGTTTCCCGGGCCAATGAAGGGCGTTTCGGTTGTACATAAGCAAAATAAGCGCCTCTAGTTCATCTTTTGGAATTGGTAGTGGTGAATGACTTATTGTATATTATATTTATTATTATGTTAATTGTTCTGTGAAAAGTGACTCCACACCGAAAGATGCTATTTGGGTGTTACTGGATAGTTTTTCTGTAGATAATAGATCTAGGAATTCTCTACTTGATTATAGGTTGTAGCTATTAGGGGTATATAATTTAATTATTTTGTTGTGCATTTTTGCAATAGGGTATGTGATTGCAGGTCTTTGGTTGATTATTGGTCGTAGAGGGTTTTTGGCTTTATATATTTTGACTGTACCATATCCAGGTACATATTCGCCCATGCGTATGGGTATTTTTTCTTCTGTATAAAGAGAATGTTAAAAAATTGTTGTTCAGCAATTGTCGGTTGAAACATTTTGGTTTTGAACTGAAGAAATTTGACAATAATTTAATATCTACCGTTAGAAAAATCAAAAAATTAAACAAGAATCTAACTATTGCGGAAAAACATGCTGTGATTTATATCGATAATTGCATTTCTGATAGTCTTAATTTGATATATATATATATATATATATATTTATTTATATGGTGAGAATTTCCGACCTACTCCTGCAAGTACGGTCGGCCAGCACGAGTACATAAAGTACACCATCTCTTACCACGATCAAAGGTGCATTTCTGTGAACACCCAACTCGTCTTACACTAGACGCGCTTTGTCTCTGGACTCATCAGTAGCCCGAATCTAAACGCCAATTTAGTACAATTGTTATCTTAGTAGACAATATTGCAAAGTAAGGTGTTTTTTAAAGTAGTTCACAGAAACATTTTTGGTCGATAGAGATGTAGTGTTACTCAGCCGAATAAAAGAAAAATTTTGTGACGCGACTTGAATCTACAAGTACGTGAGTTTATAAAAGGTGAACTCACGGCAATTCTCACTATTTTTAAACTCACTTTAAACTTGTTGATTCAAGTCGACTTACAAAATTTTTCTTTGTTATTCGGCAGAGTAACAGTATGTCTCTATCGACCAAAATTGATTCTGTGAATTACAATATATATATATATATATATATATATATACCAAAAGTTATATTTATATGTATATACACATATGTAAAAAAATATATGTTTGTATATATATATATATATACATTTAATATATATATATACATATACATTTAATATATATATATATATACATTTAATATATATACATTTAATATATATAATAAGCATAAAGATCCGTCCCACGTAGGCAGAACTTGCTCTTAATATCTTCTACACAGTCTGACAGGAACGAGTTGTCCTGGTGTGAGCAGTGTCCTGAGGACTGGCTTTAAATCTTGCTGCTCAACCAGCGGTTTCACATCAAATTTATCAAGCACCTGCGTTTGTCGGTAGGATTAAGAAGTTAATTAAAATTAATTGCTTAATTAAAAACAGTTTGTTAGAGTTTTTAATGTCTTAAGTATTGTTTACCCATTTATTTGTTTCGATTGTTGAATAAATAAATCAATAAACAAGTGGTTAAATGTACAAATAAATAATTTGATTAATAAATAAATATATATATGGTGCGTTTGTGTGTGCGTTGTTCTTCTTGCTGTGGTCTTCGGAAATAATATTCTGGTGGAATCTCAATCATTCAAAGGAATGATGTCATAAAAACATTAATAAGTACGTTTATTGTTATTATTATAATTATTATAAGATGTCACCGTCGATTCTCGAAGTAAACTGTAGAAAGAAAATGAAAGAATTAAACTTTTTTCACATTAATAAATTGTCACTTTACCTCATGACTTGAAGGGGGAGATATAAATTATATTTCATATAATTATCTATGCTTAAGTATTCCTTGAATTTCTATTTTTTGCTTATAGCGTGACTTTTACGATCCTATATAAATTTTTAACACGTGGTCAGTTTTATTATTGTGTGTTAATAGCTTGGTATTTGTACCCTGAAATTTAGTTTTTCTATTTAAGATAAATAAGCCAGGTTCTCGAAAGCAAACATATATATATATACATATATATATATATATATATATATATATATATATATACATTGGTTGTGAATGGTCGGATATTTCGCTCGTAAAATTTTTGGCTTAAATAAATTTAAATGTATAATAATTTCATTGAAAAAGGGATAATTTGTTTATAAAAAAATTTAAGATTAATGTATTATAGTTTTAGTCTCTTAATTTGTAGTTTTCGCTGAGTTTGAACTAAATTTGTAAGTTTTTTAATTTGTTGTTATCACTTGACTAATTGCAACGCTCAGCCTATAGCGCTGTCTTGACTGTATCCAGGTTAACATGTCTCCTAAATGTGCGAAGTGTTTAGGCAGTGCAAATGTGAAAGATAAGTATAATGTATTACGTTGCAGTCGTTGTGATATTGTCGTACATGTAAAGTGTATTTCTACTAATGATAGTTTACTTGATGTTTTGAAAAACTGCAGTGGTCTGAAATGGTTCTGTGATAGTTGTGTGAAGCTTCCGTTCAACTTAGATTCACTCTCAAAATCAGTTGATGCTAGTAGATAAGATATATTGGATAAAATTGACAGTAACAAAAATGAGATGATAACAAAACCTGAGAAACTGGATGAAGTCAACACTCAGGTTCGATCAGAAATAGTCAGTTTAAAAATGTTGATTACTTCGAACGAAAATAAATTAGTTGATATTGATCGCACAGATACTTCAATTCGTCACGACATCAAGAGTTTAAAGCAAGAAATGAGTACTACTTTCGCCAGCATTGTCAGTAAAGAAGTTAAAAAAAACTGAAATATTTAACAATGAAGTTAGAACCGTTCAGAAAGTGTTGACTGAAGTGAATGAGATGAAAAACAGGGAGTCAAACCTGATGGTTTTTCGCTTAGTTGAGAGCGACAATGATCGCACTGATGTTATGAAGATATTGCAACATTTGGTTGAAAACATTTCAGAGAAGGATGTTCTAAGAACAACCAGGCTAGGTAAAAAAAAGTGATGACGTAGTCAGACCATTGTTGATAAAGCTGGAAAATGCAAAGATTAAGAATTCAATAATGAGAAATGTTTACAAGATGAAAACAATAGCTGATAAATATGCCGGTGTTGGACTAAGTGATGATTTGACAAAAGAACAGGAGCAGGAGTATAAAACGTTTGTTGAAAAAGCTAAATCAATGCAATCTGATGATAAAGAGAATTTTTTATACCGTGTCAGAGGACCAGTTGGAAGATAATACAGTTTCAAAAAAAATTCACTTAAACAATTGTCTCAGTAAAAATAAAGTAATTAAAGATTTTGCTACAGATGCAACAAAAAATAAGTGCAACATTTTGCTTGGCCTACTTATTATAAGATCTGTCAACTCAAAGTCTGATATTATTTATGAATTAATTCAAGAGGGTTTGGACATCTTTGTTTTAGTGGAAACATGGCATGGTTCAACAGACAATATTTCAGTAAAATTATCTATACCATCAGGATATGGTTATGTTGATTTTCTTAGATTAAATGATCCGTGGCATGGAGGAATAATTGTAGTTTTTAGATCAAACTTTAAATATAAATTAATTGAACTACCTGTTCTAACAACGTTCGAGGCTGTAGCTATTAAAATGATCGTAAATAATAAAGACTTTGTTTTATTGGCGTTATACCGACCTGGTTCGGCTCAAGTCAGTTCTACATTTTTCGATGAACTCATATGTGTTTTACAATTTTAAGTTTGAATGTTATGTTAGTTGGTGATTTTAACATACACGTTGAAATAAACAAAGATCGGCATACCGTTAATCTGATTGAAGTGTTTGAAATGTTCCAATTAACAAATTACATCAATGAGTCAACACGGGTTCTCGGTGGTACACTTGATTTAGTAGTTACTTCACACAATTTTGAAGTTACAAATATCAGGTTATTCCCTTGTGGAGGTCAGTCCTGAGACCTATTCTGTTTGTACTGTACACTGCTGAAATATATGAAGTAATAGAATCCTTTGGATTTTTATATCATGCGTACGCTGATGACATCCAAATAATAGTTAGCAGTGAACCAGAACTGTTTAAAAGTAAAGTTGAAAATCTCATTGAATGCTTGACTAAAATAGGTACATGGATGTCAAGAAGTTGTCTCAAATTGAATCAAAATAAAACTCAATTTTTACCTGTCGGTACATGGCAACAGCTTTCTAAAATTAATATTAATTTAGTCAAAATTGATAATTATGAAATACAATTCTGTGAAAATGCAACAAACCTAGGGTGTATTTTTGACTCGAGATAATCTTTCAAAGATCATATAAAAACCATATCTTAATCATGTTCTTATCAGCTTTGCCAGTTATACCGCGTTCGAAAATATTTACATCAAACAACCATACAAACACTAATTCATGCGTTTGTTCATTCACGGTTAGACTACTGTAATATCTTGTTCAATGGATTACCAGAGAGATCTATTGCTTTTCTTCAATCAATACAGAATAGAGCTGCAAAAATAACTGTTGGGCGTAGAAAGTATGACCATGTGACATTCATTTTAAGAGACCTACATTGGCTAACAGTGAAAAAAAGAATCAACTATAAGATTTGTGTGACTATGTATAAGGCTATGAACGGGTTGTTACCAGTATATCTAGTAAAAAAAAATCTTAAAAAAAATCAGCTTCTCCAACAGGTGTAAAATGCGATCAGACTATGCCAACCTACTGGCAGTGACAACTACTCAACTATAAACTGCAACTAGAAATATTTCCGTGGCAGGACCAATTGCCTGGAACAGTCTTCCGCAATCGCTCAAAATGCCTGGACTAAAGCTTGATGATTTTAAGATTTCATTTATAATAGAGAGTGCTTTCGAGAAATTTCAATTTTATAATGCACTTAATAAATTGTTCGATTTTAGCATATATATATATATATATATAGATATAGATATATATATAGATAAAAATCACAGCATGTTCGGCGTTAGTTAACTTCCAATTTAACTTATCGATTTTTCTAACGGTTGATCGTAAATCATTCTATGTCTGGGACATGCGAACATGTGGAGTTGGATTTGCAATTTGTAGCACTCTTCTCAAGTCTCTGTCTGAAACTCCCCACGGCATATTGCACCGTCTAATAAAGATGAAACTGTGCAACTGAGTTTCGAAGGAGGAAACATTGCTATGCGTTCACATTAGGAGCTTCAAAAGAAGAAATGGATCCTGATCCATAGATGACGTTCTTTGAACTATGATTATTTGTGTTGGGTGACATCAACGCACGAGTGGGTCTAGATCACGATGTATGGTGTGAGGGACTGGAGCGATGGTAAAAAATCTTTAATTGAATCAGACTCTTAAGTTCTGCGCAGTGCAAAAACTATTGATGACAAACATGGTCTTCAAACAGTCAAATAAGCTGAAAACCAAATGAAGGCATCCACGATCAAGACACTGGCACCTGATTAATTACGGCATCACTAGACAAAGGGACCTGCATAACGTGAGGCGCATCATGTTAAAAACTGACTTCCCCCGATTTTGTTACCATTTTTCGTTCCTTCCACGATGGTATGAAGACGAGTGTGATTGAAAATAGTGAACGATCTCAGGATTTTGATGTTGCAAACGGAATTCAGCAAGGATGTGTTATGGCTCCATTGCTGTTCAACATCTACTTCTTATTGATGCTCCGATTTGCTTTTCGTCCCAGTAGTGAGAAAACTTCCTAATAACAGCAGAATTTAAAATATCGAGGCTCTAGTTGCTAACAACGAAACAGCTTTGAAAACAATGGTTGGAATGTTGATGAAAACTAAAGTTCATGATAAAAGTGATCGGGAAAAAGAGTTAAGTTGTTTACGACAAGAGAAATTTTCAATATAATCTAAAGTTGTCACATTTTAAAATAATAAAAATTTTCAACGTAGCTATTATATTGCCATTTGAAAGTAATTACCAATGAAAGTTTTTTGTCAATAGCAATATCGTTATTTTGTTACTTCTTTTTAATTGTTAAACATTTTCATTATTTTTTATAACATAAACATGCCCAAACAAAATTCCTGCTTCATCATGGTGCTACATGTTACATACCGCTAAATATATGCCTCAATAAAAACAATATCATCAATAAATTATCAACACTTCAATAAAATAAATAGAACGCATTCTTCAAACTAAAAGAATAAAGAGGACATGAAAGTAGCACTGACGAACAGTGAATGTTCATCAAGTGCTTCTATCGTTAGATACATTACGTATCTTCCATTCGGTATGCTATATATCTATCATTAGGTATATTATATATCTATGAAATTGAAATGAAATTGGAGTTTTTTCCTGCTAATCATTATTGAATAATTTTGTTATCACTGAACCAGCAAACATTTGTTTCGGCATTTTACTTTTTTAATATATTAAAAAAATCAAAATAACTGTTCGTCAGACATCTGATAATAAATATTCAACAACGAGCAAATGGAATTCTTCCTATTAATAAATTTAGAAAAAAAAGAAAACATCGATAATGAAAACACGTAAAAGTATTATAGTAAATGAAGTTTACTGTAATACTTTTACTCTCACAGAAGAATGTACCTACTTTGTGTATACGCATACATACATTCGCAGATCCAAACATACACATTTAAATTTGTTATTTAAACGTCTACTTTCTCGTCCAAATAATATTTTCTGTCATTACTTTTTAAATTATATTAATGGGCATATCATCCTTGTTCGAGGTCCGAAGAATATTCCGCGTTTGCTTTGGCAAAATCTAGGTTTTTGTTCAAAATTTTTAGATATTCCTCTGATTTTTTCTCGTTGTTTAAAAGTAAGTGTCGTTCCCCACTCCACGATTCCTTTAGCAGCCGTCCATCCTTCCGAGGTCGGTAAATGAGTAGACGACGTAAGTTGTCGCATGCTGGTCGGCGAGATGGCTCAGTGGTTCAAATGCGCGCTGAGTCAAACATCTCAATGGCTATCATAAACTCAGCGTATATGATGCGGTGATTGCGCGTGCATATAAAATAAATGTGTACGTCGTGTGAAAAGGATAAACAGCTTTTGTGGCAAAGATAGCTGCTTCAAATCAATGAATGAAGATATGAAAAACATAATAAAAGATATATAGATTATAGGTATATATGTAATATTGTAAGTGGTTCTGTGTATGTCAGGGGTGCAATAATAAAGACTGAAAACAAATTTATAGGCTTAAAAACTACTGTAACAATTGAAATGAAATTTTGTATATAAACGCATATGTGTACGGCGAAAAACGTGGGAATGATTACAACCGGCTACACCCTTGGATAGGGTTGGTTGGTATGGGAGAAATTTTTTTAATAGGTTTTAAAGCTGGAAAACTGATTGTAAATAAACATTTTGAGTACGGCAAATATATCGTTATAATTTCATTACCTCAGCCCTTATAAAATGTTGATTTTTATTGTGGATGACTATCGAAAATTAAAGCTGGAAAACTACCAATTTAATTTGCTTAAAATTTTGGATATAACAACTTTTGAAATTTGATATAAGTTATGGCAATGAATAAAACGCTTAAAATTTGCTGCACTCTTAAAAAAGGTTGGTTGAATTTATGTAGGCTACTTTATTATGAAAATCGAGCGCTGTATAATTTATTTAACAAAATAATGAAAGGAATAAACATGCTTGAAATAAGAGACCGATATTATTTATAATAACATCAAAAACAATATTGACAATAATAAACAATAAGATTGTCAACGTCAACATGATCATTAATAAATAAAAATAAAAGTTATTAATCTATGATGATAACAAAAAGAAATGAAAAATAAATGACGTCACCTTGATTAAAGTCACCATCAGTTCCATCTTGCCCACATGTTTGCCTGCAAGGAGACAAAATCATGTTTCACATATATTAATTATTTTTACAGTAACATATAAACTGTATTAACAAATAAAAAATAAATAATAATAAAAAGACCACCATTTATTAAAAAACAAATGCATTTTTCGTGTCTGCAGCAATTTAATTTAGAAATTTCATTCATAGCTACAAACACTTTGTGCTATTGAAAAGAAAGCAGCGCCACTTACAAAAAAACAAAACCCCTGCTCACAAATTAACTCTAAATAGAATAACGACACTAGTAAATTATAAATTGATAACAATAAATATAATAATATTGTTGTAACCCTTGACGTTCGTAACCACCAACACCAATGTTATAACTTCAATGAACCCTACATTTCCAACACCAGAGTTGTAGCTTCCAACGATCGTCAAATGTTTGTTATTTCGTGGGTTCAAGATTTCCAATAGATAAACAACCGTTTCAACGCAAACCCTAACAGAAACATTGAACTAATTCAGGTAACTACACGAATCACATTTACGACTTTGCTTCGAACCTTGCTAGAAATCTGGATTTTCGCAGGATCTTATATAGACTCCAAGGTGCATTTTTACGATCAAAAGATTACAAATATTTTTGTACGATCCTCTACCCAAAGACTAAAAATATAGCAAAGATAACAATAATTAAGATAACAAAGGGGTCTCGTGGCCGAGTGATTAGCGTGTTCGTCTACCACTCCCACGACCCGGGTTCGAATTCTGCAGTTTCTACAGGTTCATCCGGGTAGCCGACCCCGGTCAACCCAGCCGTCTATCTTTTCGAGGTTGGTAAATGGGTAAACGACGTAAGTTGTCGCATGTTGGCCGTCGAGGTGGCTCAATGGTTCAAATGCTCGCTGAGTCAAACCTCTCAATGTATATGATGCGGTGCTTGCGCGTGCACATAAATACATGTGTACGTTGTGTGAGAAAGATAAACAGCCTTTGTGGCGAAGATGTCTGCTTCAAATCAATAGCTGAGGATTTGAAGAACATAATAAAAAGATAATATAATATCTGTAACATTTTAAGTGGTTCTGCGTATGTCAGAGCCGCAATAATAAAGACTAATAAAAAAAAACAAAAAAAAAAAACAAAAATAATATAGCGTAATTTGATCATTCCGGCGGTTATAACAATATTAACAACGTCATCAACAACATCGACGTGATAGCGATGTAGTTGTCACCCCAATATATATTCAAACAAGATCCTTTATTACTTGTTTTAGTATAAACGGAAATTTTGAATTTGTTGCTGATATTGTTTATTATGGTATCGTGGAAAGTTAGTTTGTTGTTTATGGATTTTTTTATAGTAAAATTTAATTTGGATCTATTAAATGTGGTTATTAATTTTATGGTGTCTGGGTTGTTGTATGCCACAATTATATCATCGATATATATATTACCAAAATTGCTATAATATATATATATATATATATGCATATATCGTTATATATATATATAACGATATATATATATATATATATATATATATATATATATATATATGCAAAGAAAGCCTCGTTCCAAACTATATATATATATATATATATATATATAAGCGATCGGTGCATACACCTTCACATAAGTACACACGTGTGCGGTAACAAAAAAGATGACCAAGTGCAAGCAATAGAGCCATAAATAAATTTCGCATTAAATATATCATAAATGTCTCGAGACATCTATGAAAATATATATACACAAACAAGTGGTCGACACACACAAACATGTATATGTATACACTTCATTTAATTATTCAAACGTCATCACTAATATTTCTAATTATTTTCTCAATTACTAAAATATAAATAGAGGTGGGAGAGAAGGAAGAAGAAAAGAATGGAGAAAAAGATGAAAAAAGGATAAAGAACAAGATGAAAAATAAAAAGAAAAAGAGGAAAGGAAAAAGAAGAGGAAGAAGAATGCAAAAAAAGAATGATAAGAAAATTAAATGAAAAAGAAAACAAACAAAGAAAAAAAAGATTAAGTGAATATCATCATCGAAATACTTATCGACAATACAGTTCAACTTGTAAGAGTCATGAAGATTTCTATTTAAAAAAAATATAAGTGCAAACTGCAAATCTACATTCACTATGGATTATTTTTTTGTTAACATATACTGTACATTAATATATATATATATATATATATACATAATGAATATATATAATAAAATAAATATATATGTATGTATATATATATATATATAAACAGTCATCCAAATAGATGATATGTTGATACATTCATAATTCATTCAAACATATGTTGGAAGGAAACTACATTTTATACAATTATGTATGAACTCTACCGAATTGTTTCAACCAATTTAATTGCATCAACCAATTTAAAGTTCATCTTTTCAATTTTAATTTATAAAATTTTCTGGATATTGTTCTTTTTATTAAATAAATTTAATTTGTCCTGGTTAAACTGACCCTCACTGCCTTGTGAGTGATGTTGGATCATCAAAGGCTAGGCCCACCGCTTATAACTGTTGTTGCGTAAGGAAGGGCGTCCTGCGTAAAAATTAGCCAAATAAATTACTTATGATGGAATGGCGTCGAGGGGTATTTCGGTTTCATCATAGGTAGCCAAACGGCAACCCCCGATCTCGGGGAAAATGTCGTCAAAACGTGTGTTGTTGTTGTTATTAAATAAATTTAATATCAAAACTCCCTCTGCAGATAGACTTATTTCAAT